TTGTTTTTATATTTTTCAATATATTTATTTTGTTTGTACAAAATAAAAAAATAATTTTTAACGATACAATAGTCTTTGTTAGGCTTAACATCGACAAAAATTCAACGCAAAGCGACACGCAACGGATAAAAATTTCGACATAGGGTACGTTAAACTATTTTTTCGTACGTAAATCAGTTATCCGAAATATCAGTTATCCGGACAACCCCAGTCCCCAATTGATTCGGAAAATCGACGTTCTACTATATATAAAAGACTGTTTTTCTAAGTAATCTAGAATCTAGCTGCAAGGACCCGCTTCACTGGGTTTTTATTTGTGGGCAAAAGCAACAATAGTGAAGATTAATCTTACCCGTTTTCACGGAATGCAAGAATTAGGTCTCCCGTTTCCAGACTAATTAGAGAATTTTTACGTCCAGTCAAACGAACTATTTTCAATTTGATCAATTTTCTGGAACGTTTAAAATCGTTCTATAATCGAACCAATATACAATAACAAATTCGAATTTAAAACGGTTCGAATATTTGGTTAAAAATGGAAATATATAAAAACATTTATTACAATGTCTGAAATGTTATCAATTTAATTCACCTAAGTACTGGACGAAGACTAAACTAATTCAATATGCAATGTTTTCTTTGAAAAACATTTATGGCAACTGGCTTTTTTTAAGTGTCAGTCGTGTGAAGAAATTACAATATTACAATCTTACCTAAGGTCGATTTATAATACTGGTTTGTGCATTTGATTCACTTTGTTAAACTTTAATAACCATTACTTCTACACATTTTCATATATATTTTTGAAATTTTATAGAGTAAATATATAATTTCATTATCATCAGTGCTATACAAGTAAAAAAATACAATTTATTTTAATTTAAGAATTGTAAAGCCAATATACATACATTTATGTTTCAATGTTATTTCATTTTAGAATTTAATGTTAAATAAAGGCAATATAACAGTATAAGCTGCGAGAATAAACGATCAACAAAATTCGACATTATATTCTAAAAGTTTACTTTTATATTTGTTGCCAAATAATGTAATGTTTCTGCAAGTGGTTTGATGCAAAAATTGCTATCTGATAGGCAAAGTGTACAGTTAATTCTAATTTTTATATTTGAGCTTTAACAATAAAAGTCAGTAGATAATTATAACATGTCTTATATACAGGAATTTTTTAACAAAAATTGTTGGAAAATTCAGACAAATTTCACTTATTTATTGTCATTTATATTTTTTTATTATAAAATTAAAATTCACTAATATAAATCAATTGTTTCTAAATATTATTATTATTAATTTACTTCACATACTTAATTTAAAAAAAAACATTTTAGCATATATTATTTGCAATTACCTGAATCATTTTTATCAGTTGAACTTGATGGTTGATTTATGCCTATGTTAAAAACATTTCCTACGTGGACTGTTGAGTCTTTTATATTAATACCTAATAATAGTGATAAAGTATATTATAAAATAATGTTTTTATTTTCTTGTAGAGATTTACTGTATATTTTAAAAAATAATTACTGTCTGCTACTTTTTCTGTTTCTGCATTTAAGGCCAGACATTCCAATTCCTGTAATGTTACAATAATTAAGACTTAATATGTTAATTAAAATGTTATAAAATTATTTTTAATACCTATTATAAGGTCATAAGACAAATATGTTTGCTGTAAAACATAATCATTAACATAAAATCGTGTACTTGAAGTTTGTCAAAAGAAACTTAAGGTGTTACATCATTTTCATTACAGAAGAACTATTGTAGCAGGATACAATAAATACAGTAGAGCGTCGATTATTCGAATCAATTAAGGACAGAGTCGTTAGGATTATCGATGTTTCGGATAACCGATTATGCACGAAAAAATATATTAATTTATCTCATCTTGACATTCTTCTCCGTTGCGTGTCGCTTTGCGTTGAATTTTCGTCGACGTTAAGCCTAACGAAGACTATTGTATCGTTAAAAATTA